AAAAGAAATAAAAAATCGAATAACATGTTTTAATATTAATTATCAATGAAATATGAAACATTTATTACATATCATTAAAAAAAAAATAAAAAAAAAAAAATAGTTAATTACACAAAATACAAGCCATTCAACGTATGCACATTCGAACATAAATTTTTACCAAATGAGCCAAAAACATAGAAATAATACGAATTAAAATTATGATAAATGATCATAATTATCATAAATTCGAACGAACATGATCTCTTGAATGTGAGTAAAATAAAAAAAAAAAAAGAAAAAGATAAAATGACTTGAAATACTTGATTAACTTAGATATCATATGTACAACACACTTCTTTGAGAGTGAGTGGTGTGTTATCAGGTAGAGAGAGGGGGGAGGGGGGAGGGGGAAAGGTAAAAAGAAATAAGAGAAAGAGAGAGAGAGAGAGAGAGAAAAAAAACGAAGGACGAGGTCGAAAGGTTACGCGAGCGTTTACGTAATCGGTGTGGACCACGGGACTCAATGTACGTTGGATGCATCTGCATGCATTTCGTCGAAAGAGAAAGATAGATAGATGGTTCTACCAACTATGACGTCATTCGTACTTATACTGATTGAAATTGAGAGATTTTAGGATTTTCAAGATTAGGATTTAATGTAATAATTTATTTGAGTATATTATTATTATATTTTTTTTATATTTATTATTATTTTAAATAAATTTATTATATATAAAATTAAATTTTTTAATTATTAAATTATATATATATATTTATTAAAAAAATTAATATATTAAATTTATTGATATATTAAATTTATTATTACTTTGAATAAATTCTAATGTTTAGTTTTTCTAGTTTATTAGTTGTTTAGTATAAAGAAAAAGGTTCGTTGACGTAAGAGCATATATATATATATATGTATAATAATAGTAGTAGTAGGTACAGAAAACTGCGGAAGCCCTTCCCTATTTAAATCTACGTCACATCCTCATTCACGAACTTACCAATAACGAGGCATTGTTTACTGAACAATCAATGTTGTGTTGCCTTCTCTTAAGTCAAGATTGTTCTCTATTAGGGACGTTATTTTTATCAAGCACAAGAAATCACCTAATCGTTTTTAACAAAACTCAATAAAACATTTAATCATTATTATTATCATTACATTTATTAATTATTAAAAACGAAACATTAAAAATCATTCAAATTAATTATTTGTTACAATTTCATTGGTTTCATTTATTTTCAATTAAAATACACAAATTTCTGATAAACGTGCAAATATAAGATAAAAGATGAAAAAATAGATAATTAGTTGACAAATTTATTTAAATTTTCTTACTTATGTTGAAATAAGTGTTAAATCATGTCACGCAGTATCTATTGGACCCTATTTGCTCCTCCTCGGAACCTTAAACGCATGATCGAGAATATCGAGCGCAAAGCAGATCAGGGTCGTGACCTCGATTGTTAAAACACCCACTTGCAATTCTTCTCTTTTTTAAAAATCCTTATTTTTTGGGGGGGCTCTTTTGTCTTATGTTTCTTTTTTTTTGTTTAACAACGAATGACTCAACATGTCCTTTCATTGTTTCGATGTTTGTCCTTTGTAACATTGCGAATGTGTGTCTTGCGTTCTATTTAATCCGCCTTGCAGTATGTTTCTCCTGTAATGAAAGAATGCAACTGTGTATCAAAGGTTATCAACCTTTCAGGGGCACTTTTGAGAATAAAAATTGTATTAGTTTATTCCTTTTTTTGTTTTGTGTAGAAAGGGATGTCAACTTTTCAGGGGCACCTTTAAGAAAGAACAAAATTTTCTTTTCGTTTTTTTTTGTAGATCGGGTTGTCAATCTGTCAGGGGCCATTTTAAGAAACAAAGATTTTATTATGTATTTTATTCTTTTTGTTTTTTTTATCTGTAGAAAAGATTGTCAACCTTTCAGGGGCACTTTTAAGAATAAAACAAAATTTTTCTTTTTTTTTATGTTGAATAGGTTGTCAATCTTTCAGGGGCACTTTTAAGAAACAAAAATTGTATTATTTCATTCTTTTTCTTTTTTTGTGTAGAATGGGTTGCCAATTTGTCAGGGGCACTTTTAAAAAAGGAAAAAAATTAAATTAAATTATTATAAATTATTGAATACGAATTTGTTCAATATTTTATATATGTATGTTGAATCTGTTTAGTTGCATAGATAAAAAAAAAATCGATAAAAAAAATTATTATCAAACATGTGTTCATAAACTATATTATTACGATAAAATATTCGTTAAGATAGATAAGTATCAACATAGATTAATTCATAAAAGTTTTTAAAATAAATTGAAAACGTGTCTGGGATAAAACGAAAAGATTATAAAGTAATCCTTCCAAGAATAGATAACAATGACGATGAAGATAATATTACAAAAGTGATACGTGGGTGTTATCAAATGACTTGTTTATCGAACGACTAAAAATGTTAAAAAGAATATATATGAAAAAAAGAAATCATCTTACCGATTGTAGCGTTATGAATAAATTCCATAAAACTGGTGACCCTTGCATTACCACCAGGTGCATCATCTGCACAGGTTCTACCAAAATTAACTACACCAACGAGAATTAAATTATCTGTAGTTGGACTTCTCCATAATATTGGACCACCACTGTCGTTCTGTACAATCGTAAAATACACAAATCAATTTTTCATCTTAGTTTATGGTTTTTTTTTTACTGTCAAATTAACCTTTTTTGTATTTGGGTCACTTACTCGTTAATTAAACACCATATTATTATTTTTAATTATTACTGTATTAAATTCATTATTATTACTTTTATTAATTACGTTTTCTTTTAATTTATTTTATATAAATACTTTTAATTATTAATTATATAAAAATTGTATTATTTAATAATTATATAATTATTAATACTTTTAATAATTACTTTTAATTATTTGGTCCAAAAAAAAGCGAAATAAAACTTAAGAAAAAAGACACAGTTGTATGCAAAGGTTTGTTAATTAATTAATTATAATTATAATGTGTTAATTATTATAACAATTGATATACTTAACCTGACAAGCATCCCTTCCAACATCAAACGTACAAAGTAAGTTCGCATTTGCAATAGCTGCTCCATAATGTGTTTCACATTGTTCCCTTGTAATAACGTGCAAATCAACTTTTCTTAAAACCTTTGAATTTTGACCATTATACCTTAATTTACCCCAACCTACGATAATTAATTAATTAAATAAAATATTGAATAATTAAATGTGACATTTACAAATACCAACCTAATGCTGTTACAGTCTCGTTAGTTAAATTTCGAGTCATATAATTAAATGGAAGACAAACTGGTCCAACTTTCATCGAATATTCAAATCTTTCATTTGTTTTAACAATTGCAATATCATTATTATGAGAATTATAATTCGGATGTATAGTTACTTCTGCAATAGTATAACGTTTGGTCACATTTGTTTCCGTATCTAAAAGTAAAAGATTAAATATAATAAATAGAAGGAGTCAAATGTTAAATCATTGTTAATAAAAAATGAGATATGAAATAAAATTGTTTTGATTTTACCTGTCGTATAATCGTGTTCACCGACAACTACATGTATACCGGTATAATTGGTTCTTTTATATTTTTGAAGACAATGAGCAGCAGTTACTATATGTTGCGGTGTTATTATGGTACCACCACAATACATTCCTGGTGATGGATATATTAAACGTGCCACCATGGGAAATTCATTTATTTCTGTTTCAACACCATTTACTATTCTCGACTATAAATTTATAATTATATTTTTATATTATTAATATTAATATATATTAAATATATTAAATATTATATATATATATATATAAAACGTTATATAAATTAATTTACA